CTACACCCGCTTTGCTCCGCACTTCACAGGCCTTTGTCTCGCAGTGAAGACGAGGCCGCTACTCGGAAAAACGACTTGTTTTACGATGCAGATGTTTTGTCGTTTGCTTTCATTCACTGGACAAATGATCAAGTGTACAGTTTTGAATTTGCATGTTTTCATCCCAAGTAGGCAGACGATGGGGGGGGGGAGGGGGGTAAGGGATGGAGAGAAGGATGAGAGTGAGGGAGGAGGGATCTTGTAGAGGGTGGAGGTAGGCAGAGGTGTATACGCTCATATACACACGTATATACTTAGACATACATACACAAACATATATACCCTGGGGGATGGGTGGTGGTCGGGGACAGCTGGGCAAAGATAGATGTGTGGGGGAGGATGCTCTGTGTATACATATACATATATGCATATATATATATATATACAGTATGTGTGTGTGTCCTTTGTGCACTTATTGAAAAAGCATGTGTTTGTGCATGTTTTCTTCATGTGTCCAACTGTATAATGTATTTTTAATCATATTCTTTCTGTTGTTGGAGCTCTAGAAATGTGCGTCTTCTTTCTGTGTGTGTGTGTGTGTGTGTGTGTGTGTGTGCGTTCCTGTGCACGATGCATGTCAGCCTGCCTGCGAGTGTGTGTAATGGCCTGTATCATACCATGCCATAGAAAACTGCATACTTTTGGCAGAGTTTCCTGCCAGTGTGTAAAGCATCAGCAGCACCATGACACATGGCTCTGCCTGTCACACACCACAGCTCTCTGTGCAGCTACAATGGAATATGGACACACACACACACACACACACACACACAGCCTCAACCACATGCAGATAAAAATCATCTCATAAATCACACTGATACACACGCCTCCCCCTCCCCCCCACACACATACACATAAAATCCTCCCAGGAAAAACAAATACAACTGCACTTGAGCGCAAACAGTTGCACGCAAACAAAACATGAGCATCGCTAAGAAGCTTTTTAAGACTCGCACACACACACACTAAGAGATGCATGAACATGCGGATAATAATCTCATTATGCACACACACACACACACACACACAGACTTAGCCCAGACCTACATGCAGAAGGTGCACACACACACACACACACACACACACTTGTGGCACAGTAAATAAAGTTCATTAACCCGTGCTAATTAGCAGCAACACTGTAAAGCCTCCCTGGGTGAACCAAAAAAGAAGGGAACATAGGAATTGAGGACGGGAAGAAGTAAATTACTTTATTGTTAATAAGGGAGGTGGGGGAGAAGGGGGAGGAGGCCCGACAGAAGGTCGAAGAGGTGAGGGAGGACGGGAGGAAACCAAAGAGGACATAGGGGCAGATGGAGAGGAGGAGTGGGGGTAAAAGATGGAGGGAGACAGATGGAAGAAGAAGGGCGGAGAGGGGGTGAACATGGAGATGGCCAAGGTTGTTTGAATTTTTCAGTCTTCTTAGGAAGTGAAACCGGCAGAATGGAGAGGAAGCTGTGTTTATTAAAGGAATAGTTCAATATGTTTACTTTCTTCTCGAGAGCATCGATTATCAATCTCATGTCTGTGTGTTTTGTACCGAGCTGGTGTCGGGACTCTGTTAGCCTGGATTAGCATAAAGACTGGAGGCAGGGAGGACAGGTTAACAAACACATCGATATCTCCAAATCGGCCTTATTTACCAAACCTATCTTCGACCAATTTACGGACAGAAACAGTCGCATTATTGGTCGAGGCGTCCCGGTGCCACACCCAGGTCGCAGCTCTGAGACGCAGACAGAAAGCTTTGTTCTCTTTGATTCAGAAAATGTTGAACCCTCGAGCTCCTCACACTTCCTCTGTTGTCTCATTGGCTTCTTCTCTCCCCTCCTTCCTGTCTTCACACACACTTACACACACACACACACACACACACACACCGGTGCTGCATACGCGCACCTCATTTTATCACCCACCCTTATCCATCCATCTTTCTCCCTCCTCTGCCTCCCTCGCTCCCTAGACTTGATATCCCAGTCAGCCTTCTACCTCTGCGTTCCCCCCCTTTACCTTGTTGCCAGCGAGGGAAAGTGTAAATTGTGTTTCTTTAAATACCCGTGTCTTCCTTCAGCTTACAGCTTGAGGGGGGGTGTGGAGGAGTGGAAGCGAGGCGAGAAGAAAGAAGAGCAAGGCACAGTGTTTAACTTAACGTCTGCGAAGGATAGATAGGTCTCTCCTTTCATTTTTTTGCAGCTCGGGCGTTTATCCTGACTTAACTGTTTAAACTCTGGCTGAACTTAATTTCCCCCCTCCCCTTTAACTTTGCTCTTAAGTAGCTTCAAAGGTAAGAAGAACAGCTGTATCTGTATCTGAGGCTTACAGGGGTCACACGCTACCGGCGAGCGACTTTGTTTGTGCTTGTCTGAACCAGTTTGCACCGGCCGAGGTGTTGCTCGTGCCACGTTACGACGCGTCATGCGATTTATCAACTCCAAGAACTACTAACTTCAAGAAGTTGACTCTCCAGGCACCAGTGTTGATGCTCGCCCAAGTTAGCCCCGACCATCTGACCATATAATGAGTGGATTTTTAAACGCTGCCACGAGATGCACAGAGTATCCTGATGCAGTTAAGTTGCTCCCACACAGTGCTGCAGCTAAATCAAATTAAATGCATCCGATTAATATTTGACTGATAGGGCCAATGAAGTTGCTGCCATGATCCTACGCTGTTTAACATAACGTGATTAGTGGAGCTTTGGGTCCATGATACAGAGTAAAGTTAAATCATCTTTAAAAACTTTTGGATCTTCACAACAGTCAGAGCCACCTTTAATTATGAGCTTGCATTAATTGATAAGGCCTCAACATAAGTGTAGTGGTTTATAATTTTAGAATGACTCCTCATAATTAACTTTTATCTCACTTTATTCTTACTTGCTGATTCATAAAACTTCGCTTGTTTTATTGCGCCTATAATAATAATAATAATACAAATAATGTTTTATCATGTTATTTTTTGTAGAAGACTTTGAGCTGCATTCTGTGTTTGGAAAAGTGCTTCACAAATTAATTTTATTATATAATTTGATATCATTCTGAAGCATATAAAAATAGAGTTTGATATTTTACTCATTTCAAACATTGTAAATATTTTTACCGGCACAAATGTCACACGGAGTCATGGCCGCGGGTTTGCTCTTGGTCAGAAACGCCGCGACTCCAAAGATACGACACAAGTTTGGCAAACTTGTCAGAGCCCATTGCCGTTGGCTTGACGAGCGATGCACTGGGACAGCCAATCCACCCCGAGTGTTCATGCCAAGTAGAGGAGCTCTTGTGATCAGCCGCAAGAATTATCCCAAGATGCTATTAAAGGAGACACTAATCCGTGGTGCACTTGACCACACGTTCAGCCCCCAGCCATCATGGTGCTTAGATAAACTAACCACAAGGTCAGAGCTACAGTGAGACACCGCAGAGAGCGACTTACTCCGACACGAAGGGCTCTGAAAGTGCTGTTTGAATCCACCAGCAAGCAGCAGCTGCACCTTCAAGAGTCTGAATCCTCTCAACTCAATTTTTTATTCTTCAATAAAAACTGATGTGTTTTGAGAAGCTCAACCGGCCGTCCAGCGCACGAATGACAGAAATGCTCATGTTTGCCGCCTGCTCCTCCGAGCACATGTACTGTAAATGTGTGTATTTGATGCTACATGCAGTTAGTTTGCTCGCCTCCTCCTCCGCTGCATTCTTCTTTTCCCCATGTCCCCCCCTCTTTCATGTCTTGATGGGAGTTCCGCTGAAGCGCACTTAAGCAGATGTTCTTCCTACAGAAAAAAAAAAAAATCAATTCCTCCGCCAGTGCAAGGATGCGATAACGCTCCACGCCGAATATAAACCTGTCTCCCGCTTGACAATTTGGTTCCAATTAAACTATTTATACATGGCATCTTTTCAGGGGTGAGGAGACCGCTTTGAGGCACGTCTCCTCATGAGATGTTCCCTCCGTTGGCTTGGTCTCGTCGTCAATTATGCCATATTTTTGTTTTTCGAGAGATTAGGCTGAGCGAGCACTGGCACGTTTTTGATGCGAGTAGGAAGAGAGGGGATCACAAAGCTTTGTTGGGGGCACTCAAGGCCGCAATAACTTAGCACAGACAAAAAAGAAATCCATGTTCGGCATTGCTTAACGAGGGGCTGGACATTTTAGTATCCAGCACTTGTTCTGATTCCCACAATCGTCTGCCACCCTCATGAATGCAAAGAGCAGAATTAGCCTGCACCCTCACCCGTTATCAAGGGAGCGCTGTTAAATACCATAATTTGAGCCAATTTGAATACTCATACACACCCAGTGAGTTCGCTGCTCAGTGGTTTTTGTGGCACACCAGTTCCGGCTCCTGCCTTCAGAATCCCTTCATTATGCTGGGTCATTTGTATTCTCTTTCTCTTTCCTCCTGACCTGCTCATTTCCATAATGCCGGTCCCATTCCAGCTTGTTCTGTACCAGCGGATACATATGCATGGCGTTAAAAAACTGACACCGATATCGACAAAAGAGGGTTACAACGCCATTAGAGGTATGAGACATTGCTCTTGTTGTTTCTTTGACCCGTCAAGAGCCGCTGTCTGTCGCCGTCTCTTCATCGCTGCTGCTCCCTCAGGTCGTGCGGTCTCTGGATACTGACTCATCACTCTTACATTGGCCTTGCAGTCAAACAAGCAGATAGCCATTTGTCTGCTTTTTTTTTTGTCCCTGTGACAGCATGACCGCGTGTGTGTGTGCACGCACATTGTGTCTGTGCTTTCAGAAAGACAGATAGAGATATATAGATAATCTGACAAGCAGAGAAAGAGATGGGTGGGGGGGGGGGGCTTTTATCTGATTTGTGTGTTGGTGTGCGCGACTGTTTTTGCTTGTGTTTTCATAGAGGTGCAGCGTCTCTCTGACTTGTCTGTTCTGCCGCTCTATCGCTCTGTCTTATGATTTTTTTTTTTCTCCCCCTCTCTTTTATTACTAAGACGACGACCCCTTGCAGCCGGTGACCTCAGATGAGACGGTGTCCGTGGGGGGCACGGTGACACTGACCTGCCGGGTGGCCGAGAGCGACAACTCCTCCCTGCAGTGGTCCAACACTGCGCAGCAGACCCTGTACTTTGGAGAGAAGAGAGGTGAGAGGGAGGTGCAGACACACATGGGAAACTAGTGGAAGAGAAAAAAACAAAAAAACAATGAAAGTGTCACAAAAGCACCCCCAACATAACACTCCAAACACTGCTAATTTACTTTGCCAGATATTCTTTGGAGGGATAATAGTGTAAATGCCTCATAGATTATTTTCCCTCATGAAAATGTGACATTCTTACACCCCAGAGATGTTGTAGAGGAGGCTGGGTAGAGCAGCTCTGTGGATTAAGTGCATTTGACAACAGAGAAATATTTTTGTTGTTTGGTTTATGCCACGTTACCAATTATTTGTGGTTTTTTTTAAAAGACTGTTGTTATTTTCAGGTGTAGGAAAAAGTCAACGTTTTCCATTTTGTGCCGCAAATCGGCGTTGAATTCCTCAAACCTCAGCCGCCTGCTTCGAGTGGCTTGAACGCAACCACTAGACCTTTAATTTGCAGGGGTGTGTGTCGGGGAAACCGCATTAAAATATGTTGGCCGTGCATTACAGATATAGATTCAGTGGCAGTGAAACGTCTAAACATACTTTTTAAAACTGAATTAAACATTGTTGCTACAAGAGTCACAAAGATTCAACTGAATGTACTTTTGTTTACACTGAGCCACTCACGCTTCCCATGTCGACCACATCGCACATCTGATTACAATCTGTGGGAAACACCAGGAGGACAATAACTGCGCTCTAATGTGGTTTAGTTATATTAATTATAAGCTGAGAGAGATACACTAACTAACATAAACACTGGCATGAATTGCATGAATGGATAATATGTGATACGTTATTCTTTATACATAACAAACCCCCCGATAATTTGAACCAATCAGGGATCAGACAGATACTGAAAAAGCTCGGTGCACATTCTGTATGTTGATATGTGTGGAGCCGCTCAAGCTCGTCAAGCTACAGGAAGAACGATGGTTAACTTCAGTGTAACCCTGTCATCACAGGCAGCAGACAGCGTGGAGGTTACTTCCACAAACCACCTTCAGAAATAGTTTGGCAGCAGTGACTGCGTGGAGACGGATGCATGAATATCTTTTACACATCTGGATAGAAAGCGTCGTCGCATCGTAACTCCGTTTGCCCCGAATGCTTCTGAAATCCATTTGCAGTTTTGATATCATATATATATCGATGAAGATTAAGATCAATCCAAGACGCGTGAACTGAGAGAGAGAAATGGGTCTATGTTGATAACGGAATATAATCTGAGAGGCGCTCCGTTTCCTGCAGAACGTATTTCCTCACGCACGTTAGTTCACGGTTCTTTTGTTGAACAAGTAATTACTTTGATTATTTGAGTCAAAAGCTTTGTTCAAGTGAATATCGCCCAAACAAAAACATGAGGGAACTGAGATAGCAAACAGCGTGTTATTGTAATACTGCATGGTGCCAACCTGCAACAAATGAAACCAGACGACTAAAACAAATCTCAGTGTTTGACGGGCTGCAGTGCAATTAAATACTTAAATAAAAATAAAGGCTTACTATTTAAAAAAATGTTTTTGTAGAATTTTAATGACGCAACTGGTCGACTTCTAATGACAATTTGAAAAGAAAATAACACAACACGATCTGTGTTTTTAAAAGGAAAAGGAAACAAAGAAGAGTCTGGAAAATATTGACATAGTAAATAAGGACTGGAAGTATAAATATGGAGTTTTTGTACTAATGATTACTTTTGACTTTGCGGTTTGTGCAAAACATTGTCAGGAGTGAAAAGGTGCAGAGGCCAGATTGAGGATGAAGTAAAGGTTATAATAGTAGTTTAAAGTCAAATGACTTTAAAGAAAACTTGAATCCTGACGAGCTGAAGTGTTTGTGTGTGAGGTCGGATCTTTGGAAAAAGTCTGAGATCGCACAACAGACTTGAAGTGTAAAGAGGGGAGAGTGGTGCAGATGGGAGGACGGAGCGACCGGAGAGCTGGAGGATTAGAAACAAGGGCGAGGAGAGAGATAGAAAAGATAGAAAGACTCCCTTGTCCAATACATGAACACTTAACAGCAGAAGTGAAGTGATACAGAGATGGAGCTGAGAACGGCGAGAGCAGAGACAGATAGAGCGCCAACATTTTGGCAACAGATAATTTGGACAACAGAGGAAGGCGAGAGAGAATGAGGGAGTGAGGTGGGAAAGGACAAATGGAGAGATCAGCAAGTGTTTTACTCCAGATGGAGTTTCAGCCACAGAAAGAGAGAGGGGGGGATAGAAAGTGAGGCTCTTCTCTGCAATGACACTAGAAGTCCTACCTCTATGTTTGGGGGAAGTGAGATGAGTGGTGGTGGAGGAGGAGAGGGAGAAAATAGGAGGAGGGAGCGAGAGGGAGCCACAACTCCTCACAGCGGTGGTCCAACGTGCACAGCAGATGCTGTAGTTTGGAAAGCAGAGAGATGAGAGACGGAGAGGAGGATGAAGGCAGCTCAGAATCCCTCCCTTCAACCATGTCTTCTCTTCCAAAGGGCAGCAGATGGTGAGAGAACGAAGGAGAAATGAAGATCTTGTTTTCTTGACGGAGGAGGAACGGAGGTAGTGATTGATGTAGGGAAGGTGAAAAGTAATGATGAGGGACAGGAAGGGAGAGAGGAGTGGTAAACATTACACAACAGTGTTTAGGGGACAGAGGAGCAGACGGAGAAAGAAGGAGAGACCATTTATGACTTTTCAAAATAAAAGTTTAAAGTTGAACGCTTTTTCAAACCTAATCCCCTTAAAAACAACTGTTTGTTTTCAGATCTGCCACTGAGCAATGAAGTTATGTTTATCTTTAAATGCTTATTCCATATTTACTCTCCGGGTGGCTCTGCTCTGCACTTTGCAATGTGGTGCTCTTCAGTTATTTGTAAAATATTTAAAAAAGCAGAATATGAGTTCCATAAGAGCGTCACACAATCCTTTGTTTGTTTACTAACGTTGATTAGTGTTGCTGAGGAAACACTGTGAACACCAGTGTTCAACTTTCTTTACTTTAATGTTCAATAATTTGTGAAAACATTCTGCTGCACAGAAAGAGAGAAAAGTCCAGCCGACAAAGAAAAGACAGATAGATTATAACAGTGAAACAAAAAAGGCCGGCGGGACCTAAAAAGTGAGGCCGGGTGCTGGAAAACAACGACTGAAGAATGTGTCACTGATCCGAAAGATAGATTGAAAGAGAGCAGCAAGTCATCTATGCAGTTGGCCTGAGCGGCAGAGCGCAGACAGTGTGTTGCAGAGTTAAGACAGCAAGACATAAAGTGATGAGGGTAAGGAGCACGGAGAGAGAGAAGGATATACTACAACAAGAATGGAAGGGAAAGTTGATTGAAGAGGGAGGGAGGGTGGATAAGAGATGGGGGGGAAAAGAGAAAAATCAGTACGTTCCCACACTGCACAGCGTGCGTCGGGCATTGGAGAGTTGAGAAAAATGGATGGGTGGAGGGAGCGGGCGGAGCAAGGAATTGACGAACAGCGTGATGAGACCTAGAAGAAGAGGATGAAAATGATGAGCGACAACTCCTCGCTGTGACGGCTGCCACGCTGCGGAGTCACACGCGTACGAGGGTGAGATCAGAGGTGGTGGATTCAAGAGGGAGTCCTGTTAAAACGAAAGATAATCTGTGTAGGGGGTGCAGGGCCATCATCATATAAACTAAGATGGAGAGAATTCAGAGGATGGTACAGTTAGTGTAGAGAGAGAGGAGAAATGATTTTGTGAAAATGATGTGACGATTGCAGGAAAAGAGACCTTGGATTTGATTTATACAAAAGTTATTATTCACAAATAATGTGAAAAATGATGGAAAAACCTGAGCCTAAGCTGTGATGTATGAAATGTTGATGTTGTCGGCATAATCGCAGGGTCACATTGATTCAATTCAATTTTCTGCGGTAGGTCGAAAGCTCAAGACGACTTCCATCATCATTCAGGCAACCGAAGCCACTGATACCAGTTTAATTTGACCCTGCTGGTCGCAGCTCGGGAGGCTACACACACACACACACACACAC